TATATATATATATATATATATATGTGGATTGTATACTATGAGACCATTTATTTTTTGTACAAGAATGTCACAATTTTTCTTGGCCATTGGATGTGAAATTTAACATATTAAAATATATCATAGCTTTGGCAAAACTTTGTTTTGGACATTGTGCTCAAGTAGTGATACATCACCACCTATTTGATTTTTCATTATATACACTTCCACACACACATGCATATATATATATATATGGAAGCATCTACAAAACATCTATAAGTGAAGTTCTATAGCATTTCATCTGCATCTTATCACCATCCAAAGTTTATCACAGTCACAGTTGTCCAGTAGTATTTGAATTTTTATAATTATTGTATTAATAAGATTTGTCTAACATTTTGGGTGTGTACATATGACCAAGTTTACACCAAAATAAAATATTAAAAAAAATAGTCATAAAATAAAATGATGAAATTCCCCAGAAACTTTATAGGGATATTTTACGTAATTTTTATCATTCAAATTATTTGTTTTATATTTTATTCAAGTGCATCTCACTAAGTCGCACACACCTACAAAATTTCATATCATTATGATTTGTAAAAAAAAATATTAAAATTCAAACACTATCAGACATTTGTGACCGGGTGATAAACTTTAAATGGTGATAAAGCTATAGGTGAAGTACTGTATAACTTCACCTGCAGGCATTTTGTATTATTTTCCTATATATATATATATTTTGGCGAAGGAATCCCTTTGATATCTAATTGAGCTAGTTTAGATATTAATTGATCCATAAGTGTTTTATTATCTTCTCCTAAATGAAATTTGGTTTTATTAAGTTCAGGAAGAGGTTTGAATAGAACCGCTTTAAGAATAGGAGGAGTTGCTACCTTCGGTTGAGGGGTAACTAATCTTTCTATTCGTTCAGCTTGTTTGCCTAATGATTGCATATATAGGTTGATATAATTATTTTGTTCTACAATATGAGGAATTAATTCATGTTTCTTTTCCATGTCCTTGGGTACAACTTTATATGGTGTTGCAATAATGTCATATAGGGATTGTGGTTGTTCACCTTTCATAGGTGGACTTTTGA